GCGAAGGCATACCAAAGCAGAGCTGAACTATCAATCCGAAAGAGACCAGATAGTGTTTTTCTTTGATGCCACCTGTCAGTTGAATAGGGAGCCAGGGATGCACGTATTTTGAACAACGGATTGGAACTCATTTCGGTCCCATTAATTCCTGTAATCCAATTGTGATTTAAGAAGCTTCGCCGTAGATCGTTTTGCTTCGTCCACCATACTGGATTTGAAAGCACTTCCCATCTCCAATAACAATAATTGACTGGAAATGATGCCGAAACCAATATTTCCAGTAGGCCAACTTGGTGCATAAGAAGCTTTCTCGTAGACCAATTCTGCTTCAAGAAGCCTTCACGTAGACCGGGTGCAGGGTTGAGTGAAATGACGGAAAGACTGTTGAGGGGAGGGCGTAGCGTGGAATCAGCTATGAAAGGAGATTTTGTGGCAGGCAACATTTTGATTCCAAAGCCTTCCCATCGAGCAACTTTGCTTCAACAAACCTTTCAGTAGATCACTTACTGTTAGATAAAGTGTCAATGCCATGTTGTAAAACTGTCCTGCCCCCCCGCCACCCAACAAAACAACAAACGTAATGGCTTGGGTCGGGAGGCATGCCCCAGCGGACTGTGAGCCCAGTTTTGTTAAGAAGCCTTGCCATAGGCCAAGTTCGCTTTCAGACCTTTCACCAGAAGTTGATTAATTATTAGTTTTAGTCAGGAGGCTTCCGCTTTGAGAAACGTTCTGTAGAAGCCTTTCCGTAGCCACATTTGCCAATTGACACATTTTGCAGGCCAAGGTTGCTTCAAACTGCATTCCGATGGTTCGTTCCGTCACGAAAATTCCTGCAGACCATTGCAGCCATGTTCAATGCATTTTGAGACACAAATAAAGATGCACTCACCCTCCCACCCCACCTTGGAGCAGAGGTGGACATTGCTGAGCCCTGGTGGCAACTCAAACTCCTAGGACCTGGCTAAGTTGCCAAGCTCCCACTGGCGAAACGGCTGTGCCTGCTTTAATCAGCTATGCCAAACCTAAGAGAGATGCTATAGCTGGCCTGACTAAGTCACTTAACTTAGGGTAGCCAAGTCGTGTTGACCGTTCCCTCATAGTCACGAGGCAAAGAACTGTTTCGAGCGTGAACCCGACGAGGCCAAGCGAAGGATTGTTGACATGGCGGCTGAAAAACGTCGGACCCAGAGGGATTTCTTTAAGTGGTTCATAGTGTGTTTGCGAAAAGCACTATCCACAATGTCGGACCAAGGCCGAAAAGAACAAGAGGAAAAGCGTCGCAAAGCCGAAAAAAGGGCCAAGTCGAGAAGGAACTGCGGCATGCGACGTCCGTCGAGAGAGAGAGAGAGAGTAGGCAAATTGTTCTCTTGCTTGTGAACACATGAAAACATAAAGCTATTAGAATTAAATTAATAGCTTCTTGTTACTACTAGTAAGGCACCTGTTACTACTAGCGATGCACTTGTTACTACTAATGTGAATTTCACCGATTGTAGCCAGGGTGTATTGCGTACAGTTGATGCACCGTCGCTGCTATTTGGCTGCACAGGCGCCTTGAGTCGATTTGTTGCTGCGAAAAGGAACCGTGCGAGAATCAAACTGGTAGCGGAGCAGGTTCTGAAGGGGCACCCTCAGGATCTGACTCACCCGGGGAGACTCGCTGGATCCAACCGTTGAACCCAATTGCGTGACCCTGCGCGCAATCCGTTGAACCCGTTGAACCGTTGTAATTCCAGCGCTTTGCGAAACTTTGTTGAGTTGCGATGTCGCTGGCTGGCCTGCGGTACACATCCCATGGAGGAAGTATCTCAGGACCGCAGGAGACGAAGAGCGGATCATATATCTACAGTGGCAATCCAAATGGTTTCTTCGAATGGGAGTTTCGCACCAAGGTCCGCGTTGCTTTGTACAAGCAGAAACATGCGAAGAAGAAGTCAGAGAAGACCTATTCGAGCTATGGAAGCCAATCAGCCACACCAGAACGTTCTCAGAGGAGGCCGACTCATGCGACCGAGGCTGAGGATGTATCAGATGAAGAGGACGTACGATTTGAAGCCTTTGGAACCCCGAAGACTGTGATCGTAGAAGACGAGGAAGAACCAGCTCTGAGCACTGCCGGACTGGACGATGATGGAGCAGAGTATGCAACACTTGTTCACAAGGTGTGGAAGGCCTGCGAGGTGACGCATACCTTGCAGCTCAAGACATGGGATTGGAGAAGCTGTTGACTCCAACTGGCATCGATGAGTTGATTTCGCGTATCCGCGCACAAGTTTTTCCACTTCGACAACAAGAAGCACGTGAGTTGTTCAGAGTGGGTCAACTCCCACATGGTCCCTTGTCTCGCCAATCGACAGAAAGCATGACTAGCTATATCTCACGAAGACGTCGTTGGTGGAGGAAGCTTTTGGAGATGGATGATGGGGTAAGTCTCTCAGACCCCATGCGTGGTGAGCTTCTTCTGGAAGGCTCTGGTTTGAGCAAGACAGAACAGCTCATGATCAAGACAGCTGCAGGCGACAACCAAACTTTTGATGTCTACGCCAAATTCTTGCTTGAATTCCATGGACAGATTCACTTGCGCAGCTGGTCCGCTTTTGGCAATGCAAGCCCCCGGAGGCAGAAAGGCGGAGGCAAGTTCTCAAGCAAGTCTTCCTACAAAGGAGGAAAAGGACGCGGTTGGCAGAGATCCGCGTACATCGTTGAAGACGACTCATGGGATTATGAAGAGTCCTATGAACCAGAAGCAGAGGACGACTATGAACATGAAGCTTATGTCGCAGCAGAAGATGAAGAACCAGAAGACGAAGAACATGAAGACTATGTCGAGGACCCTGAAGTTGCCACAGCGTTGATGGCAATGGGAGAATGTGATGATGAAGAGAATGATGTCTCAGAAGAACTGGGCAGCGCAGCTCAGCACCAGATGATGGCCTTTGTCGTGACTGACCAGTTGAAAGGCAAGAGCAAAGGCAAAGGCAAAGGATCAGGAAAGAAAGGTGGTAAAGGCAAAGGAAACGGTAAGTATGTGTTCAGGACACAGTTGAGCGTGCAAGACAGAATCGCACGTCTAGCAAAGTTGAAGGCAGTGTCCAAATGCTTGCGTTGTGGTGGAAAAGGTCATTGGGCAGGAGACCCTGCCTGCAAGTTCCCCAAGCAGAACGACAAGTCCCCCGGAGGAACGTCGTCAACGAGCAAAGCCACAGCCTACTTCGCATTAAGTGATGATGAGTCTTCTGTTGAAGACGAGTACATGTGTGTTGATGTCAGTGGCCAGACCGCTGATAGCGGCGCGTGCTACATGGCATACAAGATGTCCCCAAAGAAGAAGCTGGAGTTTGAACCGTCAGATCGTGCATCCATGTCGTCAGGAGTGACTAGCAGTCCGCCATCTAGCTTTTCGATGGTCGAGCCAAATGTCCGTCGGTCGCCGCAAAGGTCCCCACCGTCCATGCGTAGGAATAGAGACATGGAGCAAGACCTTTTGCCTGAAGGTTCACAGAGTGTCTTTGTGTTTGGTCAGCACCAAGGTTTGACATACCATGAAGTGTTGTTCAAATAGCCTGGATACTACCAATGGGGATCAGGCATTTCGCACCCTTCGCGTTGCTTGGCAGATTTCCTGACATGGGTGACCACATACTACGAAGTCAGTCCGAGTGGAGACGTGACCTTGAGAGAGCATCCCTTGACAGACATGCCCGACGAGGCAGTCCGACGTGCCGGAGACAAGAGTGCAAAAGGGAAACCACCAAATCCCCCACTGGAGGTACCCTGCCGCCGTTGCACCAAATTCACGTTTCAAGGTTCAAATGCCTATGTTGAAAATAAGACATGCCTTGACTGTGGAAAGAGTGAGAAGAAGAAGAAGAAAGAGAGCAAGCCCGTCACCGATCCCACACGGTGCAAACATGAAGTCACGGATCGGCGAGGCAGCTCAAAGACCACACCTCGTTTGTACTGCAAGTTGTGTGGAACCATTGTCGACGAAATGCCCCGAGAAGAGGCACGCAAGAGAGAGGCAATGGCAAAGAGCGTTGCAAGCATGCGTTCCAATGCATTCGACACGACTGCATCAGTGGTTGAACATGAGATCAACAATTCCTGCATGACACCCGAAGGAACACTAGAGATCATGGAAATGTTCAGACAGGATGTTGAGAGTGAACTGGAGTTAGGAGAGCCCGTGAGGATTGGCGTCCTGTTTGAGATCCTTGCCAATGCCGTGGAGTGCGTCAGAGAGGCCAGTCCGCAGACTTGCTTCGTGGGACTTTTGTCGGATCTCAACGAAGCCACGATCGAAAACACACTTCGTCTTGTTGCCATCATGGAAGACCCTGGAGTCTGGGCTGTGTTGGACGAAGGATGTAATGCAACTGTTTGTGGACAAGCATGGATCCAAAACGCCAAAGACAAGTATGCACGTCTTGGGTATGATGTAGCGGACTTGCAGAGTGACTCAAAAGCATTTCGAGGACTCGCCGGTGACACCAAAACTTTGGGCAAGTGTCGGATTCCGTTCGCATTGACCTTTTTGGACCCCGAGACGAAACTTCCGGGAGTCATGGAAACGCACGTTGTCGATGGAAAGATTCCATTGCTTTTGTCACAGCATGCTCAAGCTGCATTGCATTTCACGAAATCCATGGGAGATGCCAAGTGCTATGTAGGCAACGAAGAGCTTGAACTGTGTAGGGCTAGGAACTCAGGACTCCTATGCGTGAACCTCTCAGAAGGTCTCAAGAGTTTGAAGTCCAAAAGACTCCCCAAGCAACTCCGTGAACTCAAGAACACAGAGTTTGGTATGAACTTCAACATCCGCCCCACCGATCAGCTCACAGCGTTCATGGCAGACGAGGAACGCCCGGCAAGAGGCACTTTCACGCTTGATGATGCTTCCTGCGTGCATATTTTGACCTGTGGAAAAGAATTCCTTGGGCAGATTGCCAATTTCGACAGGTGCAAAAATATGGTGACCCTTGGGCCCATATTGTCGAAATTCGATCCTGGCAGGCGGCTACTTGTGGTAGATTGCATGGGATTTGGGGATCCCCAGCATGACCCGCAGCTGCGGGCCCACATAGTCAGCCACCCGGAGATCATTCGTGGCATGGTTGGAAGTGAAAAGACGATGGAAGCATTACACTACGTGCTCCATCACCTCAAGGAGAGCCACGAAAAGGGGCAGCAGTTGGCAGTTGTGGCCTATTGCAGGCGAAACCGACATAGATCGGTATCCTTTGGTTGGTTGGTCGCAACCGCATTCCAGAAGCTTTGCTCCGGATGCCACTTGACTTTGACCCACTCCAATCAGGAAGAGTCATGGAGCCAGATGAGTGGATCTTGCAAGGGCAAATGCGTGATGTGCAAGCATGAGTCACGTGATGCTTTGGAAGCAGCCCTGAGGTCAAGGGACTATGTCTTGAAGCAGTTCGCCCAGAAGACCGCACCGTCGTATAACCAGGTGCGTCAAGTTGTGTTTGACTCTGAGATCGAGGCCGAGGACGGGACTGAGTGGAGGACTCAAGCCCCCGTTGACACTCGCGTGTTGCCACCACCACCGTGCCCAAAGAAGCCTCCCATCATACGCCCTGCAGTAGTGAAGGCAAGCCCTGCAAAAGCACCAGCACCTATGCCAAAAGGATCAGCCACCGTGTCCCACAGAGGACCAGGATCAGTGATGTCAGCATCACCAGCTCCACCTGTTGCAGCTTCAACACCAAAGGCATCGGCGCCCGAGGCACGAGCACGAGATGCAGATGAGAACCACTACAATGAAGATGCTGAAATTCGTCGTCGTGAAAAGGCCGAGACCTCGAAGCCAGCAGAGCCAAGGAGTGAATCAGTGCCTACGAGTCAGCCTGATGCTGCAACACAGGCCTTGTTGCAGACCGTTGAATTGTTGACACAGCAAGTGAAGCAGATGCAAGAGCGTGAGAGAAAGAGATCAAGGTCAAGAGACCGATATCGGCGAGGACGATCGGACAGCAGAGAGCGCCATCGTCGAAGAAGGCGTGATGACAGCAGAGAGTATCGTCGTGGAAGAAGCCGAAGCTCATCGAGGAGGAGATCGCCATCCTTTGGTCGCATCCCAACGCCACCACAAGTGCGACCAAGGGAACCGGAAGGACCGCCACCCAGATGGCATCACTATGGATCGGGCCGAGGAGCCAGTCGAGAGTCGGAACGGTCGACCTGGCAGGAGCGTCGATATAACCTCTTCAGAGCACCCGGGAGCATCGCATTTTCCAAGAGCCACGGCTGCATGGCCATCGCATCTCGAATTCCCCACGGTAGAAGGCGATGGACC